CACTGTGACTCAAGTGGTAGAGCGCTAGCCTTGAGCTGAAGAGCTGAGGGACAGCGCCCAGGCCCAGAGTTCAGGCCCCACGACCGGATCCAAAAAAAAAAAAAAAAGTATATAAAGAGAATATACAGTTAGTTTTATGTGCATTTACTTTGGCCCCTCTCTTGACCATTTGGGATAATGGCTCTGATGGACAAGGATTGCCTAGGGAGTTTTAAGTGGGAGAAAACTTTTGTACTAGTTTGAATCCTATAATAAGGGTTTGTCAGGTTGCAGTCCAGAGGAAGTTCCTTAATTCAATTGGAAACTTACATTTCTTTCTTTTTTTTTTTTGTTGATCGTGGGGCCTGAACTGTGGGCCTGGGTGCTGTCCGTCAGCTCTTCAGCCGTAGACTAGCAGTCTACCACTTGAGCCTCAGCCCCACCTCCAGCTTTTTCTGCTTATGTGGTGCTGAGGAATCTAACTGAGGGCCTCATGCATGCAAGGCAAGCACTCTACCACTGAGCCAACTTCCTAGCCCCTTATGTTTCTTTTTGTTAAAGATTATAGAATTTATTTGCTGCTTTATTGACAGGGTCTCAATAAGCAGTCCAGGCTAATCTCAAAGGTACATGCCTAAAAATCCCATCATTAAGGAGGCTGAGGCAGGAGGATCTCAAGTTCAAGGCCAGTTTGGGCTACATAGTGAGACCCTGTCTCAAAAAATTAAGAGGGGGGCTGGGAAGGTGGCTCAGTGGTAGAGCACTTGCCTTGCATGCTCGAGGCCCTGGGTTCGATTCCTCAGCACCACATAAGCAAAAAGAAAAAAGCCGGAAGTGGCGCTGTGGCTCCAGTGGTAGAGCGCTAGCCTTGAGCTGAAGAGCTGAGGGACAGTGCCCAGGCCCAGAGTTCAGGCCCCACAACCAGACCCAAAAAAAAAAATTAAGAGGAACACAAACTGATTAAAGGAAGGTATACTTAGGGGAGAAATCCAAAGGCATAATTCCTCAGAACAACTTTGTCAGAACAAATACTAGGAAATAAAAACATGGTTTTTTTTGGGGGGGGGGGAGGTAAGAGGTAAGAGTACCGGAATGGAGGAAGAAGAGGTGAGCAAATGCAGTCATTGTATTCAGTGTATACTGTGTTAAAAATCAACTGTGGCCAGATACTAGTTGATTACCTATGATCCTAGTTATTCAGAAAGCTGAGAGCTTAGAATCCCCATTCAAAGCAAGCCCAGGCAGGAAAAACCATTGAGATGCTTTATCTCTAATTAACTATCAGAAAATCAGAAGTGGAGCTGTCACTTAAAGAAGTAGAGCACTAGTCTTGAGTAGAAAAGTTCAGAGATGGTGCTTAGACCCTGAGTTCAAGCCCCCGTGACTGACCAAAATATAAGAACTATGTAACTTCTGGATGCAGACAGTGAGGGAAAATGGGGAAGAGTGAAGAAAGGGGTGATGTACAAGAAAAATTACACTTATAATCTTACTCGTGGAATTATAGCTACTTAATAATAACTTTTTTTAAAAAATGCAAAACACTTAAGAAAAAAATTGCAGCTTTGCAGATTTTTGCTGGTGTCTTGTGATTCTTCTATCTCCACTTCCCTAGCATGGGTTGTAGGTGTGCAGCACTACACTTGGTTTGAGTATCCTTTTTTTTTTATTTGGTCAGCAAGTGCCTTACCACTTGAGCCACAGTGCCACTTCCAGTTTTCTGGTGGTCAGTTGGAGATAAGAGTCTCACAGACTTTCCTGCTGGGCTGCCTTTGAACTGTGATCCTCAGTTCTCAGCCTCCTGAGTAGCTAGGAGTACAGGCGTGAGCCACCAGCACCCAGCTAAGTTAACTTTTTGTGTGTGCAGGTTCTGTGGCCTAAACTCAGGGTATGGATGCTGTCCCTAAGGTTTTTTGCTCATGTACTACTTGAGCCACAGCTCCACTTTGAGCTTTTTGGTGGTCAATTTGGATAGAGTCTCATGGACTTTACTGCCCAGGTTGGCTTTGAACCAGTATTTTCAGATCTCAGCCTCTTGAGTAGCTAGTATTACAGGTGTGATCCACCAGCATCCAGCTTTAGAGGTTATACTTTTAGAAGCAGAATGGCTTCCTGATAAGTTTAACTTTTTTTCTTTGAATGGGTTTGTTGGGAAGGTTGAACAGCCCAAATTTATCTTTTTGAGTCAGTATTATCCCTTATAGTATTGTGATAGTAGAGTAAAAGTTAACTTTATTTAATCTTCACCCTTAGTACATAGCTTTCCCCCTCCAAAAAACAGATTTATTTATTGTATATAGAAAATTCTATAGATATACTGACCTGAAGCCAGTTGTTCACCTCTTGCCTAACCAATCAAACTAGATCACTTGCTATTACATAAATACTCATTTTGGTTTGTTCTGTCATATCCATTTCTTCCTGCTGAAAACCCCTTGTTCCTCACTACATCCATTATCTTGGACACAAACATGCTTCAAAACATGATCCTTTCTTAGCCAGGTGCCTGTGGTTTATGCCTATACTTCTAGCTTCTTAGGAGGCCAAGATCTGAGGATTGTAGTCTGAAGCCAGCTTGAGCAGGAAAGTCCATGAAATTCTTATTTCCAATTAACTGCCCCCAAGAAGCCAGAAGTGGAGCTGTGATTCAAGTGGTAGAGCACTGGCCTTGAACATGAAAAATTCTTACATTTTGAGAGGTTAGTTTAAAAGCAACTCATATAAATACAAAAGTGCCCAATGTACATCAAGTAAATGATCCAACCATTGGAACGTCAATAGTTTTACAAGTATAATTTATTAGTTTTACAAGTTTTAATTAGCATTGGTAAGTTGAATTCCTATGACAGGCTTCTAGAAAAGTGACATGAGATGTCAAGAGCCATCCTGTGCACTACCACTGTTATGCCATCATGTTTCTGGATCATAATGTTCCCATTATCTGATTCTAGACATACTAGAACATTCTAGGAATATCAGTGGGGTCAGAGGTTAGCTTGGCTGCTTGCTGAACAAGAACAGATAGCACTCCAGCATGTTCATCTGACAGAGTACCCTGGCAGCCCAGATTAAGTCCTTGTGAATCTGTGCACAAGACTCCAACAATGAACGGATTCTTCTTTGTGTCCTCCAGATGCTGCTCCAAAGTGGCTTCCATCCCACCAGTGGCCCACCTCAGCCTGAGACCCCATGGCACTCCCAGCACATAGCTTTTTAATATTTTGTGTGTTAAAATAAGAGCTCTTCTATTTTTTTGAAGTACAATGGTTGTCTAAAGGAAAATTACTTGTACAGTATTTGTCAAACTACCGGCTTTATAGAATACTATTGTATGTATGTATGTATCTTTTGTGGGTTATTTTTTTGTTGTTTTGTTTTTAGCAGTTCTAGAGCTTGAACTCGGGGCCTGGGCACTGTCCCTGAGCTTTTTTTGCTCATGGATAGCATTCTATCCCTTGAGCCACAGTGCCTTTTCTGGCCTTTTCTGTTAAAGTGGTACTGAGGAATCAAAGCCAGGGCTTCATGTATGCCAGGCAAGCACTCTACCACTAAGCCACATTCCCAGCCCCCGCCCCCCTCCCTTTTTTGGGGCAGTTGTGATGCTTGAACTTTGGACTAGGGCACTGTCCCTGAGCTCTTCAGCTCAAGGGGAGTGCTCTACCACTTGAGCCGAGGCACCACTTCTGGTTTTGTAATAGTTAATTGGAGATAAGAGTCTCAGGGACTTTTCTGCCAGGGCTGGCTTTGAACCATTATCCTTAGATCTCAGCCTCCTGAATAGCTAGAATTACAGGCAGGAGCCACAGGCACCAAGCTCCCCCGCCCCTTTTTTTTACATTTTATGTATTTCCTGACAAAATAACACTGAGAAGCGCACAATAGTTCTGCAATATTTTGCAAAGAATGCACAAGCTAATCATGAGGAACTTTTAAATAGACCCAGATTAAGGAGCAGAAGGACAGGCAATAGTCTTCAAACCTGTTCAGGTGCTAAAGACTAAGAAACTATCATGGATTAAAGGAGACCAAGGAAACAAGACAGCTCAGTGAACTGTGAGATGATAAATTACAATTTGGACCTGCAAGAAATACTAGAAAACTGGTGAGATTTGAATAAGACATATTGATTAGTTAACCGTAAGGTATCTACACTATTTGTAATTTCAAAAATTACACTCTTAGGCATAGTAGCATGACCATCGCTTCCCAGCTCCTCAGGTGGCTGAAGCAGTAGGTTTCTTTTGTTGTTGTTGTTGTTGTTGCTTTGCCAATCCTAGGGCTTGAACTCAGGTCCTGGGTACTGTCTCTGAGCCTCTATGTGCCTCAAGACTAGCTAGCACTTGAGCCACAGCGCCACTTCCGGCTTTTTCTGCTTATGTGGTACTGAGGAATAGAATCTAGGGCTTCATGCAGGCTAGGCAAGCACTATACTACTAAGCACATGCCCAGCCCAGCAGTAGGGTTTCTTGAGCCCAGGAGTTTGAGAGAGCCTAGATATCACAACAGCCTTCTTCTAAGGGGGAAAAGGTGTACTATGGTTACATGTTAACATAAATGGGAATGGGATAAAACCTGTTTTGCGTTCTAAGTGAAAAATTATTGTGTTTTGTGTATCTGTCTGTGTGTGCATGTTGAACTTGGGTTCTGTTGAGTAGTGGTTTCAGTGGGAGGAGTGAGGGCTAATAAAGAGAGTGAGGATGAATATGGTCCAGCTAGTTTATTTACAAGTCTGAAATAGAACAATGAAAGCTGTTGAAATTGTTTTAATAAGGGAAGAGTATAATAAGGGAGAGTGATAGGGTGAGCCAGCCGAGGCTGGCTTTAAACCACTACCCTCAGATCTCAGCCTTTTGAGTAGTTAGGATTACAGATGTGAACCACTGACAAAAGTTTTTTGTTTGGTTGATTTTGGGTTTTTTTAGTGAATTCATTAACTATAAATGTGTTTTCCCTTTTAAACTACATATGTACGTATGTACCTGAGACCAGATTTTTTTCATGTACTTCAAAACAACATATAGGTGTTGTATGGAAGAAGAGAAGGTTAGCACTCCCCTTGAGGAGGGTGGAAGAGGCCCTTAGGGCTGACAACACGCATACAATTAAGGCATGGGCACCTACTTCATGGCATCTAACCATTGTTTTGGGCTGGGAAGGTGGCTCAGTAGTAGAGTGTTTGCCTCGCATGCATGAGGCCCTGGGTTCGATTCCTCAGCACCACATAAACAGAAAAGGCAGAAAGTAGGTGCTGTGGGTCAAGTGATAGGGTGCTAGCCTTGAGCTGAAGAGCTCAGGGGCAGTGCTCAGGCCCAGAGTTCAAGCCCCATGACTGACAAAACAACAACAAAAAACATATAGCAGTACAATGAATGAAGAAGTAGCTATAAGAATCTAAACATTGGGCCAGGCACTGGTGGCTCACGCCTGTAATCCTAGCTATTCAGGAGGCTGAGATCTGAGGATCGCAGTTCAAAGCCAGCCCGGGCAAGAAAGTCCGTGAAACTCTTTTTTTTGGGGGCGGGGGGGAGGGTCTCTGGTTGTGGGGCCTGAATTCTGGGCCTGGGCACTGTCCCTCAGCTCTTCAGCTCAAGGCTAGCACTCTACCACTTGAGCCACCGTGCCACTTTCAGCTTTTTTCTTTTTGCTTATGTGGTGCTGAGGAATCGAACCCAGGGCCTCATGCATGCAAGGCAAGCGCTCTACAGACACTGAGCCACCTTCCCAGCCCCCATGAAACTCTTATTTCCAATAACCACCAGAAAAATGGAAGTGGCACTGTAGCTCAAGTGGTACAGCACTAGCCTTGAGCTGAAGAGCTGAGGGACAGCGCTCAGGCCCAGAGTTCAAGCCCCAAGACCGACAAAAAAAAAAAAAAGAATCTAGACATTGGATTTGTAAAAATGGAAAATAATTCCACTATTCTCGCTAAATTGTTATTTGGAGAAAATAATTAAATACTGAAAGTAGATTTGTTATTTTAAAATGTTTTTTAAGAACCAAGCACCAGTAGCTCAAGCCTATAATCATAGCTGCTCACGAGGCTGAGATCTGAGGATTGTAATTTGAAGCTATCCAGGGCAACAAAGTCTATGAGACTCTTACTTCCAATTAACTACCAGAAAGTCAGAAGTGGACCTGTGGCTCAAGAATAAAGTGCTGCTGGGCGCTGGTGGCTCACACCTGTAATCCTAGCTACTCAGGAGCTGAGATCTGAGGATCATGGTTTAAGCCAGCCTGGGCAGGAAAGTCTGGGAGATTCTTATCTCCAATTAACTGGAAATGACACTATGGCTCAAGTGGTAGAGCCCTTCCTTGAGCTGAAGAGCTCAGTGCCCAGGCCCAGAGTTCAAGCCCCATGACCAACAACAACAACAAAAAGTAGTATAGGTCTGGGAAGGTGGCTCAGTGGTAGAGCGCTTGCCTTGCATGCATGAGGCCCTGGGTTCGATTCCTCAGCACCACATAAAGCAAAAAGAAAAAAAGCCAGAAGTGGCGCTGTGGCTCAAGTGGTAGAGCACTAACCTTGAGCTGAAGAGCTCAAGGACAGCGCCCAGGCCCAGAGTTCAGACTCCACGACCGGACCAAAAAAAAAAAAAAAAAAATAGTAGTATAATATTACTACACCCCTGTCAGACTAAAAAAAAGAAAAAAAGCTAGTTCCAAGTATTGATGAGGATGTAAAGAAGTTAGATTTCTCACATACTGATTCTGAGACTATATGATACTATAGCTACTCTGAGAAACAGATTGACAGTTTATTATAAAAGAGCATTCATTTACCATGTGACTTAGTCACACTGTTGAGTCTTTGCCTCAGATGAATGAAAACTTAAGCCCCTATAAAAACTTGTGCAGGAATGTTCATAGAAGCTTTACTTGTAGTAGCAAAATATTAGAAACAACTCATTAAACTGTGGTACAGCCATACTATGGAATACTGCTATGCAATAAAAAGGAACGAGCTACTGGCACATGTAATAATTTGGGTGAATTGCAAGGAAAATACCTTAAGTTAAAAAGTCAGTCCCAGGTCTGGGAAGGTGGCTCAGTGGTAGAGCGCTTGACTTGCATGCCTGAGGCCCTAGGTTCGATTCCTCAGCACCACATAAGCAAAAAAAGAAAAAAAGCCGGAAGTGGTGCTGTGGCTCAAGTGGTAGAGCGCTAGCCTTGAGCTGAAGAGCTGAGGGATAGCCCCCAGGCTCAGAGTTCAGGCCCCAAGACCGGACCCAGGCATGGCGGTGTATGCATGTAATTCTAGCATATGGAGGCTGAGACTGGGGGAGAATTGCCAGTGAAGACTTTTTTTTAAATATATGGATCTCACTATTTTTTCCAGTCTGATACCAAATTTGTGAGATCAAGTGACCCTCCTATCTTAGCCTCCTAAGTCACTAGGGCTGTAAGTATGCATCACTATTCTCTATATGATAATTTTGAAAAACTAGAAACTCAGAGATGGAAACAAACTTATTGGTCACCAGACATTGGAGACTGGCAGGAATTTGATGGTAGAATGGGGGTTATGGTTCTGAAAAGGTAACACAAAGGATCCTTGAGCGTTGAGTGTTGGAACTGATCTCAGAGCTTTGTGTTTGTTAGGCAGGCATTCTGCTGTTAGAAACAAGCCCCCCAGATCTTTTTACTTGAGGGTTTTTTTTTTTTTGGGCCCGGTCGTGGGTCCTGAACTCTGGGCCTGGGCGCTGTTCCTCAGCTCTTCAGCTCAAGGCTAGCGCTCTACCACTTGAGCCACCGTGCCACTTCCGGCTTTTTTTCTTTTTGCTTATGTGGTTCTGGGGAATTTAACCCAGGGCCTCAGGCATGCAAGGCAAGCGCTCTACCACTGAGCCACCTTCCCAGCCCCTACTTGAGGTTTTTGTTTTGTTTTGGTCATTGATGGAGCTTGAACTCTAGGCACTGTCCCTGAGCTCTTTTGCTCAAGGCTAGCACTCTACCACTTTGAACCACAGCCCACTTCTGGTTTTCCTATCTAGACTGGCTTTGAACCTCAATCTTCAGATCTCTGGAGTAGTTTAGGATTACAAGCTTGAGAGATACCAGCTGCCCAGCACACTTTAGTCATTTTTTTTAATAGGATCTTACGTTTATTCCTGGGCTAGTCTAGATCTTGATCTTCCTACTTATGCTTTCTACCTATCTGGGATAATAGGCATACTTCCTAGCACCTGTTGTTTTGTTTTGTTTGGTCTGTTGTGAATATGAGTCTCACTGATTTTCCTGCTGGGTTTGAATCCCAATCCTCATATCTCAGCCTCCTGAATAGCTAAGATTATAGGTGTGAGTCATTGATGCCCAGCTATTTTGTTTTGTTTTATTGATTCAGGTTGGAGTGTCATGAACTTTATGTCTGAGCTGGCCTGGAAATTCAGTTTTCCTAATCTCAGACTGCTGAGTAGTTAGGATTACAGGTTTGAGCCACCATACTCAGTAAAGTGTTGGGTTGTTCTGTATCTGTATCTGTGGTAGTGTATACATTACCCTACCAATGTGATAAAATTGTTTTTGTTTTTGTTTTTTTAAATTAATTTAGGACTGGGAAGGTGGCTCATGCATGAGGCCCTGGGTTTGATTCCTCAGCACCACATAAACAGAAAAAGCCAGAAGTGGTGCTGTTGCTCAAGTGGTAGATGGCTCCACTTGATCTGAAGAGCTAAGGGACAGCACTCAGGCCCAAAGTTCAAGCCCCACAACTAACCAAAAAAAAAAAATAATAATTTATTGTTATTATAGAGGTGATATACAGAGGGATTACAGTTACATGAATCAGATAATGAGTACATTTCCTTTTGTACCCTGTCTTCTGTTTCCTCGTTCTCTCCCAATGTCATCATGTCTCTACCCACAAGTTGTATAGTTTACTTTCATCAATGTCTAGTGAGCTCCATTGCTGCACTTTTTTCACTGTTTTTTTCTGTGTGCTCCCGCTCAACTTTCCAAAGATATATATGTGAATATACCATAAAATAAGGTAAAGAAAACAGAATCATCAAAAACTGAAAACAAAAATTTTTTTATTTCCATATCTTGGAGTTTGTTTGGATATGTCTATTATTTTATATAAATATGAATTGGCATGTAGGCCTTGTGCTTTTGTGTTTTTCTTCTAAGATAACCTCTTTTGGTCTCACTGGGTATGAGTATCTAGAATCCTGTATAAGTTATTATATCCCAGTGCATTTTAGATCTATTTTCCTCATGTCAGAGAGAACATGTGCCCGTTTTGTCTTTCTGATCTTGCCTTACCTTACTTAACATTATTTGTTTTAGTTCCATCCATTTCCCTGCAAATGACATTGTTTTTTCTAATGGCTATGTAAAATTCCATTGTGTAGGCTAGGAATGTGGCTTAGTGGTAGCCTAGCTTGCCTAGCATGCATGAAGCCCCGGGTTTAATTCGTCAGTACCACATTCACAGAAAAGGCCAGAAGTGGCACTGTGGCTCAAGTGGTAGAGTACCAGCCTTGAGCAAAAGAAGCTCAGAGACATTGCCCAGACCCTGAATTCAAACCCCAGGACTGGTCAAAAAAAAAAAAAAAAGCATTGTGTTATAGGTACCACATATTTTGGATCTGTTCATCCAGCATGGGGCATCTGGGCTGTTGTGAATAGTGTGGCAGTGCAGGTGCTCTTAACATGCCCTGCCTCATGATGTTCAGGGTAGATGCCCAGGAGTGGTGGGGCTGGGCTGTAGGGAAGGTCTTTATTTAGTTTTTTGAGGAGCCTCCAGACTGCTGTCCAGAGTGGTTGTACTAGTTTATATTCCCACCAGCAGTGCAGTAGGGTTCCTTTATCCCCACATCCCTGCCAGCATTTGTTGTTCAAATTCACAATGTTAGCCAATCTTCCTGGAGTGAGATGGAATCTCAGAGTTGTTTTGATTTACATTTCCTTTTGACCAGGGATGATAAGCATTTACTCATGTGTTTCTTTACCATTCTTAACTTTTCCCCCTGAGAAGTCTTTCCTTAGTTCCCTAGCCCATTCAGTGATTGGTTTATTAGGTTTGAGAGGGATTAGTTTCTTGAGCTCTTTGTATATATTGGATATTAGGCCTTTGTCTGATATATTGATGGTAAAGATCTTTTTCCAGTTTGTTGGCTTTCTTTCTAGTTTAGCTGTGCAGAAACTTTTTTTTTTTTTTATGTTGTCCCACTTGTCAAGCCTCTCTCTTATCTGTTGTGCCTTTGGGGCTCTACTCAACAAGTTCCTACTTATACCTATAAGCTCTAATGTTTCTCCTACTCTCTTGTAGTTTCAAAGTTTCATGTCTGACATTGAGGCCTTTGATCCACTTTGACTAATGTGATAGAATTGTATACAACTAAATACAGGGCAGAAGGTATGGCTCAAGTGGTAGAGATCTTGCCTAACAAGTGTGAATTCCTGAGTTCAAACCTCAGTCTTGACTAAAAAAGAAAAGAAAATTAAGTGCAGATGATTATAAGTAAAACATTGTATCAGTGTTGATACTTGAGTTATAATAGTAGTTTTGCTTATTTTTTGTGCCCATATTAGGGCTTGAACTAAGGGCCTGAGTGTAGTCCTTTGGCTTTTTTGATCAAGGCTGGCTCTTAACAATTTAAGCCACAACTCCGCTTTCAGCTTTTTTTGGGGGCGGGGGGGGGGGGGCTCCGGTCGTGGGGCCTGAACTCTTGGCCTGGGCGCTGTCCCTCAGCTCTTCAGCTCAAGGCTAGCGCTCTACAACTTGAGCCACAGCACCACTTCTGGCTTTTTTTTTTCTTTTTGCTTATGTGGTGCTGAGGAATTGAACCCAGGGCCTCATGCATGCAAGGCAAGCGCTCTACCACTGAGCCACCTTCCCAGCCCCCGCTTTCAGCTTTTTGATGATTAATTGGAGACGGACATTCCTTCCCCGGGCTAGCTTCGAACTGCAATCCTCAGATCTCATTCTTCTAAGTAGCTAAGATTACAGATGCGAGCCACCAGTACCTGGTGTGATAACAGTTTTGAAAGATGTTATGGTTGGAAGAAAACAAAGAATACTCTCAAGGCTGACTGTGTTGTTAAATGGCTGTAATCCCAGTACTAGGGAGGAAGAAGCAGCTTATATGACGTTTAGGGATTGGTGATGTAGCTCAGTAGTCTAACAAAGATGTACAGAGTTCTGCATCCCATCCCCAGCACCCAGAAAACCATCTGTTAATTGTTGCCACAAAAAATTGAAGTTAAGGACTGGGAAAGCGTCTCAGTGGTAGAGTGCTTGCCTTGCATGCATGAGGTCCTGGGTTCAATTCCTCAGCACTACATAAGCAGAAAAAGCTGGAATTGGTGCTTTGGCTCAAATAAATGGTAGAATGCTAACCTTAGTTGAAGAGCTAAGGGACAGTGACCAGGCCCAGAGTTCAGGCCCCATGACCAGCAAAAAAAGAAAAAAGAAAATTGAAGTTAAATTTCATCAGTAATATTTCAGGTTGCCAGTTCCCCTGGTCCTTAATTCAGAGCTGAAGGACTCTTCCTTTAGAATCATTGAACCATTTTCAGATGTTATTCTTGGCAGTGGCTGAATCTCTTGCAGCCTCAACACATTTCTGTAGTTCCCACCTCCTTGGGAGTTCAGTGATAGACACCATTCAGATACTTATTGGAACACCAAGATGATCTAAGGTTTGTCAGAAACCAGGAATTTCTTTTGTAGTTTAGAGCCTAGGAATAGTAACACCCCAAACTGAGACAATAATGTCCTAGACATTATTATCAACTGCTATCCCAGAATATGAACATTAGTAGGAAGATGGGATTCCCTTGTCAGCCACAGGTTTAAACTGTCCTGTTGAGATGAGGGCAGTTTAGAATAGTGACCAGAAAACTCAGTTGTCTTATTAACCTCCCTTCTATTTCATAGTCCAGGATATGTGTGTGTGTGTGTTTGCACACGCACACGTGTGCACATTCCTTTTAATTTTAAGAATAATAGCAGCTGGGTGCTAGTGGTTTACACCTGTCCTAGCTACTCAAGAGGCTGAGATCTGAGGATAGAAGTTCTAAGCCAGCCCAGGCAGGCAAGTCTGGGAGACTCTGATCTGCAATTAACTCTCAAAAACATTATAAATAGAACTGTGACTCAAGTGGTAGAGCACTAACCTTGAGCAAAAGAGCTCAGGGACAACACCCAGGCCCTGAGTTCAAGCTCCAGGATTGGCAAACATGTACAAAACAACATAAAATATTCATTTAGCAAAACTTTGTGGAAAGGAAAAATTTTGTCTGTGTGCTGGTCCTGGGGCTTGAACACAGGACCTAGGTGTTGTCCCTTAGCTTTTTTACTCCAGGCTAGTGCTCTACCACTTAAACAACACTGCCACTTGCAGCTTTTTAGTGTTTGATTGGAGATGAGAGTCTCATGGATTTTCCTGCCTCATTTGGCTTCAAACCACGCTCCTTAGATCCTCAGCCTCCTTAGTTGCTAGGATTATAGGAGATATGAGCTACCAGTGTCTAACTTGCAGAAGATTTTTTTTTTTTTTGCCAGTCCTGGAGCTTGAACTCAAGGCCCATGCTCTTGTCCCTGAGCCTCTCTGCACTCAAGGTTAGCTCTTCACCACTTAAGCCACAGTGCCACTTCTAGCTTTTTCTCAGTGGTTTATAGGAGTTAAGAGTCTCATGGACTTTCCTGCCCAGGCTGGTTTCAAACCATGATCCTCAGATCTTAGCCTCCTGAGTAGGGTTACAGGTGTGAGCCACTGGTGCCTGAATAGGAGAGGATTTTTTTTGGGGGAGGGGGGGGTGGGGATCAGACATGGGGCTTGAACTCTGGGCCTGGGCTCTTTCCCGGTGCTCTTCAGCTCAAGGTGAGCACTCTACCACTTCAGCTACAGTGCCTCTTCCGGTTTTCTGAGTGGTTTATTGGAGATAAGAGTCTTAGGGAACAAGGGTGCCAGTGGCTCATGCCTGTAATCCTAGCTACTCTGGAGGCTGAGATCTGAGGATCATGGGTCAAATCCAGCCCAGACAGGAAAATCCCTGAGACTCTTCAGTAAACCACCGGAAAACAAAAAAACAGAAGTGGCGCTGTCGCTCAAGTGGTAGAGTGCTAGCCTACCACTGCGCTAGCAGAAGACCTGAGGGATAACACCCAGGCCCAGAGTTCAAGCCCCACGACTGACAAATAAGTGTGTGTATGTGTGTGTGTAACCATTTGAACCTATGTTTCTGTTACTCAGAAACTTTCTAGGTACTCATTGCTATTTTCTACCAGGAAGACAGCCTTGGATTTGAAGTCTTAAAATTCAAATATAAATTTAGATTTTCACTTGCTGGTTGTATATGGCTTATGCTTGTAATCTTAGCTTCTCAGGAGGCTGAGATTTGAAGATCAAAGTTTGAAGCCAGCTCAGGCAGAAAAGTCCACACAACTCCATCTCTAGTTAGCAAAGAAGCTGGCTGGAGGAATAGCTCATATGATAGAACACTAGCCATGACCAGAAAAAAGCCAAGCAAGAGCTAGGTGCCAGTGTAATTCTAGCTATGCAGGAGGCAAAAATCTGAGGATTGTGGTTTGAAGCCAGCCTAGGCAGGAAAGTCAGTGAGACTCTTAACTTGCACCTACTTGGTTTGCTCATAAGCTGCCTCTCTATTACTTGAGCTAATAAGCCTCTTCCTTGAGTGGAGAAATTCCTTAATATAGATTTTCTAGAACAATATTGCATAGGAAATTAGCTCTGTTAATTACTTTTAACACACATATACATACTATAACATTAATAGTATATAATTTATGTATATTGTATAAATGATTCTTAATAACTTTAAATACTCCTTCCTCTTTCCTTTTGATTGTTGAAGAGGCTTTATTCTGATCTTATTTGTGTCCTTTTCTGTATAGGATGGATAGAATGACAGAAGATGCTCTTCGCCTGAATCTGTTGAAGCGCAGTTTGGACCCAGCAGATGAGCGAGATGATGTCCTGGCAAAAAGACTGAAAATGGAAGGACATGAGGCCATGGAACGTCTGAAAATGTTGGCACTGCTTAAAAGGAAGGATTTGGCGAATCTTGAAGTGCCACATGAGTTACCAACCAAACAAGATGGCAGTGGTGTCAAGGGCTATGAAGAGAAACTCAATGGGAATCTCAGGCCTCATGGAGACAGCAGGACTGCTGGAAGGCCAGGAAAAGAAAACATCAATGATGAGCCTGTGGATATGAGTGCTAGACGGAGGTACGATAGTTTATCTACCTGCAGGATAGGTTGTTCTTACAAAATAAGCCTCTAAAATGAAATTAATTTCATTTAGAGGAGGGTGTTTTTTATCATAGAGTGTCTGGTAAAGAAGTGTTTCTATATTATCTGGCATGACTATGAGTTACTCTCATTTCCAAATGAAGTTAGGTACCTGAGATTGTAGTTTAGCATACTAAGAGGCATAATTCTTACCCTAAGATAAAATCATTATTTCTACATAAAGTTGGCATTAGAGAACTGATAGCCTTAGAAGGAGTAAACACATTTTCTTTTCAGATCATCCCAGGAGTTTTAGATTCTATATATTATAGCATCTCTTTTTTTGTTTTGGGGGGGTTTTGTTTTTTGTTTTTGTTTTTTTGCCAGTCCTAGGGACTGTCTCTGGGCTTCTTTTGCCTAAGGCTAGCGCTTTACCACTTGAGCTACAGCCCTACTTCTGTCTTTTTCTGTTTATATGGTATTAAGGAATTGAACCCAGGGCTTCATACATGCTAGGCAAGCGCTCTACCACTGAGCCACATTCCCAGCATCTCCTTTTTTTTTTGGTCGGTCATGGGGCTTGAACTCTGGGCCTGGACTCTATCCCTCAGCTCTTCAGCTCAAGGCAAGTGCTATACTGCTTGAGGCACAGTTTTCTGAGTGGTTTATTGGAAATAAGAGTCTCACAGAGTTTCCTGCCCGAGCTGGCTTTGAACCACAATCCTCAGATCTCAGCCTCCTGAGTAGCTAGGATTACAGGTGTGAGCCACCAACACCCAACAGCATCTCATTTTTATTTCATCAAAAAAGTTTGGGCCTAGTCGGTTCTGGTAGCTCACGCCTTTAATCCTAGCTACTCAGGAGGCTGAGATCTGAGGCTCCCCATTTCAAAGCCAGCCCGGGCAGGAAACTCTGTGAGACTCTTATCTCCAATAAACCACTAGAAAACTGGAAGTGTCGCTGAGCCTCAAACAGGCTGAGGCTCAAACAGGCTGAGGCTCAAACAGTAGAGCGTTTGCCTTGAGCTGAAGAATGCAGGGACAGTGCCCAAGCCCAGAGTTCAAGCCCCATGACCGACCAAAAAATAAAAAATCATGGGCCTGATTTTTTTTGTGTGTCAGAAGGAACATGTGCTAAGTTTCTTTTTTTTGGGGGGGGTGGGGGGGTCCGGTCATGGGGCCTGAACTCTGGGCCTGGGCGCTGTCCCTCAGCTCTTCAGCTCAAGGCTAGCGCTCTACCACTTGAGCCACAGCGCCACTTACGGCTTTTTTTCTTTTTGCTTATGTGGTGCTGAGGAATCGAACCCAGGGCCTCAGGCATGCAAGGCAAGCGCTCTACCACTGAGCCACCTTCCCAGCCCATGCTAAGTTTCTATAGTGTTGCTTAATCTGTGCCACTTCCCTCTACCCCTGCACAGCACATACATCCATTTCTAAACACATTCAGTCAGTCCTTTTTTCCCTTGTACTGTGCACTAGGAAGGTTTCAGCAATGTCTCTAACAATCACGCTGTTTCTTTGTGCTTGTATGTCTGTTCCTGTTTGTCTCTCTCTCCATCTACGTCTGTCTCTTGCACACATACATATAAACACACATTTCACAGGCCTTTATTCTAGTGTCTTACCCACTAGGGATATATACTTGAAACTGGTGAAGGTTTGAGTTAGTCTGTGAAGTGTTGTCATAGTGTAGACAATCTTCATTTTAACAACATTCAATTTATTATTGTGTATGGAGGGGGTGCTGCATGCATGTGTAGTGTATGTGTGCAGTGTTTGCGTGCACTGGTACTAAGGCTTGAGTTTAGGGCCTGGGACAGTGTCCTTGAGCTTTTTGTACTCAGGGTAGGCATTGTACCAGTTGAGCCACAGTTTGTTCCACTTCTGGTGTTTTTGGTGGTTAATTGGAAATAAGAGTCTCATGGACTTTTCCTGCCCAGGCTGGCTTTGAACTGTAGTTCTCTAGATCTCAGCCTCCAGTATAGCCACTGGATCTCAGCTTCATATGTGTCTGTCTCTCTGTCTCTGACACTTTATCTCTCATTTTTTTCCTACTTTTTCCCTTCCCTTCCCCTGCCCTCTTGCCAGTACTGGGGTTTGAACTCAGAATCACTTGGCTCAGCTTGTTTACTTAGCTGATACTTTTAAGTACTTGAGCTGCACTGTACTTAAACATGCATTTCTTTTTTCTTTTTTTTTTCTTTTTTGGTCAGTTGTGCGGCTTGAACTCTATGAATGAGGAAAATTATTATTTTCGGATATGGGGCTTGAACTGAGGGCCTGGGTGCTGTCCCTGAGCTCCTTTGCTCAAGGCTAGTGCTCTACCATTTTGAGCCACAGCACTACTTCTAAAGGGTTTTCTGGTGGTTAATTGGAGATAAGAGTTTCAAGGACTTTCCTGCCCAGGGTGCCTGCAGATTACAGTCCTCAGATTTTAGCCTCCTGAGTAGCTAGGATTACAGGCGTAAACCACTGGCACCAGGCAGGAAAATTTTTTTTGATAATAGTATTAAAAAGTCTAGTCCTTGCTGCTCAGGGGAGGGTAAGATCACACAGTTCTAATCCAGCCCAGAGAAGAAAGTCTGTGAGACTTTTCTTATCAGAAAAACATCAAAAGGCTGGAGGTGGATCTATGGCTCAAATGGTAGATTGTTAGCCTTGAGCTAAAGAAGCTCAAGGTGGTGTTGTGGTGCAAGTGGTAGAGTACTCGCCTTGAGCTAAAGAGCGTAGGGATAGAGCCCAGGCTGAGTTCAAGCCCCATGACAGACCAAAAAAAAAAAAAAAAGCAGCTCACAGATAGTGCCCAGGCCCTGAGTTTAAGTCTAAGGACAAACACACACACACACACATAAAAAAAATCTAGGCAGGGACTGGTGGCTCACACCTGTAATCCTAGCTACTCAGGAGGCTGAGATCTGAGGATCATGGCTTGAGGCCAGCCTGGAAAGGAAAGTCCATGGAATTTACCTCTAATTAACCACCAAAAAAGCCAAAATTGGAACAGTGGCCTTGAACAAAAAAAACTTAGGGACATTATTCAGGCCCTGAGCCAACTTGAGTGAATTTCAGATCAGTTCTCTAATAGTTTTAGAAGAAAAATCTTTGCAATTTTAGGTAGAGTTAGAAGAATATTGTGAATCTTTAGATTCTTGGTCAGTCGTAGGGCTTGAACTTTGAGCTTGGGCGCTGTCCCTCTATAGCTTGAGCCACAGTGCCGCTTCCAGTTTTCTAGTGGTTTATTGGAGATAAGAGTCTCGCAGACTTGGGCTGGGAAGGTAGCTCAGTGGTAGAGGGCTTGCCTTGCATGCCTGAGGCCCTGGGTTCGATTCCTCAGCAAAAAGAACAAAGCCGGAAGTGGCGCTGTGGCTCAAGTGGTAGAGCGCTAGCCTTGAGCTGAAGAGCTAAGAGATAGCGCCCAGGCCCAGAATTCAGGCCCCACGACCAGACCCAAAAAAAAAAAAAAAAGAGTCTCACAGACTTTCCTGCCCAGGCTGGCTTTGAACCATGATCCTCAGACCTCAGCCTCCTGAGTAGCTAGGATTACAGGCATGAGCCACCAGCACCTGGCTTATCTGTTGATTCTTCAGAAGGAAATTCATTGGGTAAATGACATCATGCTCTTGTGCAGCCCATTTGCTTCTTAATCATTTTTTTCCTTTCTGGAGTGAGTGAATGATCCTACTTCATTTGGAGGAAGAAAAGGGAAAATGCTAGGTACATTAAAAAAGAATAAAATAATGTTGATAAATTTCCCAAGAAAGAGAGCAGTGAAAAAAAATTAAAAGCAGAAGTATTTTTTTTTATTGTTTTTTGTTTGTTTTTCTACTGGTCCTGGGGCTTGAACTTAGGGCCTAGGAGCCGCCCCTGAGTTTCTGTTGCTCAAGGCTAAATACACTAACTTCTACCTGTGACTTTTTGGTAGTTTATTAGAGATAAACTTACGGCAAGCCGGGCGCTGGTAGCTCATACCTGTAATCCTAACTACTCAGGAGGCTGAGATCTAGGATAGTAGTTTATTTATTTATTTATTTATTTTGTCGGTCATGGGGCTTGAACTCTGGGCCTGGGCGCTGTCCCTCAGCTCTTCAGCTCAAGGCGAGCGCTCTACCACTTGAGCTACAGCGCCACTTCCGGTTTTCTGGTGGTTTATTGGAGATAGGAGTCTCACGGTCTCTCTTGCCCGGGCTGGCTTTGAACCGCGATCCTCAGATCTCAGCCTCCTGAGTAGCTAGGATTACAGACGTGAGCCACCAGCGCCCGGCTGGGATTGTAGTTTAAAGCCAGTCCAGGCAGGAGAGACTCTATCTACCGTTAACTACCAGAAAACCAGAAGTGGCACTGTGGCTCAAGTGGTAGAGCACTAGCCTTCATTGGAAGAGCTCAGGGACAGCACCCGGGCCCAGAATTCAAGCCCCAGGACCGAAAGAAAAAAGAAAGTCTCAAGGTCAGCTGGGTGCTGATAGCCTACACCTGTAATCCTAGCCACTCAGGAGGCTGAGATCTGAGGATCGTGGTTTGAAACCAGCCTGAGCAGGAAAGTCCATGGAACTTATCTCTAATTAATGACCCAAAAAAACATAATTGGAGCAGTGGCTCAAAGTGGTAGAGCCCTAGCTTTGAGCCTTGAGATAACACCTGGCCCCACAACTCATGATCTTTCCTGCCTGGGCTAGCTTCAAACCTCAAGCCTCAGAATCTTAGTCCCTGAGTAGTATTACAGGTGTGAGCCACTGGTACCTGACATAAACAGAAGTTTTAACATGAAAGCTGGATCATAATTGCCTAATTATTTTGTCATTAATTGGGCAAGTTATAATATCAATGAAATAAGATATATGTGAAGTAAAACCAGTGTTCCCTCTGTTTTAGTATAATAGAGAAATACAAGTTCTCATTCTGTTTAGTTGTATTTCTTTTTTTATATTTTTTTGTCGATTATAGGGCTTGAACTCTGGGACAGGGTGTTGTCCCTCAGCTCTTCAGCTCAAGGCTAGAGCT